AGTTGTTACAGAAAACCGTAAAGCTTTTAATGTCAAATATATATATACAGTCACGGAATAATTCAAGTAAGATTGCTGATAAAATTGATACTCTAACAATAAAAACAAAGTTATTTATGTCAAGATCTACATAATAGCAATAATTTTGTTTTTTTAAAAATTTGATTCCTAAGAAAAATAAATATATTTATAACTTTTTATAACTCCTTGCAAAAAGTAACTCTATTAAACGAAATTAGCTATCTTACAAATTTATTTTCAAAAATGAATATGACAAAAGTAAGAAACATTTGAGTTTTTTATTATGAAATATAATTTTTTGTCAATACCTATTTATTAAAAATGATTATTATCAAAGAGATTTTGTTAAATTTATTAAAAATAAGCATTTAAAACTATATTTTTTAGAATTTATTTTGAGAAAAAGTAAAACTAACAATAAATATGTTTCCTCATCAAACATTTTCATTGGACATCCAATCTCTTGTCATTTGTGATCGAAAAAAGGGCCTAACCTACAAGCAATGTGCAGAAAAATATCAAATATTGATAAGCAGTGTAAGAAAGATGTGTATAAAATTTGAAATAACTGATTCTGTTGAAAATCAGAAAAGATTTGGTCGTCCCTGTAAAACTTCAACAAAAACTGATATGCTTATTGCATGTAAAACTTCAACAAAAACTGATTACAGCAAAACAAAATTCAATAATAATCTCAAGATAGATTGTTGAAAACCTTAAATTAAATGTTTCCAGTCAAACTGTACAGAGAAGACTTAATTTAAGTGGTTTAATAAACCGTCTTCAGATAAGTAAACCCCTCATAAGTGGTATAAAAAAAAAAAACGCTAAACGTTTGCATTACTGCATGATAAAAAGGGTGAGGCATTTTGGAACTCAGTGTTATGGTCTGATGAAGGTAAATTTCAAATACTTGGCTTTAAAAAGAGTTTGGTGCAAACCTTGTGATGCACTCTTAGATAGAAATCTTAAAAAAACTGTCAAGCATGGAGGTGGCTCAATTATGGTTTGAGGATGCTTTTCTTCAAATGGTGTGGAAAGACTGGTTAATGTTGATGGTATAATGACAGGACAATTGTATGTTGATTTGCTTTCAAAAAATTATGTCAATCTGCTAAATAATTGTGTTTTGATCACAAATTCTTTTTTCAACAAGACAATGACCCCAAAAACACCAGCAAAGTGGCATAACTCCTCAAAAAAAGTAAAGTTAACATGCTTAAATGGCTACCGCGACCTTAATGCCATTGAAAATTTATGGGTAATTTTAAAATCTAAAATACCTTCTACAAAACGAACAAATAAAAAAGAATTTTTTGAGGTTATAAATGAAACTTGGAATTCAATTGATGCTAACGTCACATCAAAGCTTGTAAAAAGCACGCCAAGACAATTAGAAGCAGTCATGAAAGCAATAGGTGGTGCAACAAAGTACTAAAATAAAAATCAGACTATTCTTGTATTTTTAATTACATTATGTTAAGTACATTTTTAAGTACATTATATTTTAATTACATTAAGTCATATATTATTATTTGTCAGTATACATTACTGACAAAATATTATATTTCATAATAAAAATTCAGATGTTTCTTACATTTGTCGCATTTATTTTGGACAAAAAAATTGTAAGATTTTGTTTAATAGAGTTACATTTGCAATGAGTTATAAAGAGTTAAAAATATATTTGTTCTTCTTTGGAATAAAATTTTTAAAAAACATAAAATTATTGCAGTTGCGTAGATCCTGACTTAAATAATTTTGTTTTTATTGTTAGAGTTTTGATTTTATCAACAATGTTACTTAACTTTGTTGTCATATATATATATATATATATATACATATATATATATATATATATATATATATATATATATATACATATATATATATATATATATATATATATATATATATATATATATATATATATATATATATATATATATATATATATATATATATATATATATATATATATATATATATATATATATATATATATATATATATTTATAATATATATATATATATATATTTATAATATATATATATATATATATTTATAATATATATATATATATATACATATATATTAAAATTTTTTCATTTTTCAAAACTGAATAAAATCTTGATGAATGGAATCAGATTGGTTTTAGTTATCTAATCCTATAGAATATAAGCAGTTCAAAAAAGTTGCGAGTTTTTTTTATGATTAATTGTCATAATATATGCATAATTATACATGACTTATGCAATTTTTACTATTCTACTGTTGAAATATGGTTTATTTGAATACTAATATCATAAATTATTTTGTATTAAATTGAAAAGTATTTTATAATACCAATCATATTAGAAATATATATATATATATATATATATATATATATATATATATATATTAATAATAATAATGACAAATAACAATAATAATAATTTTATATAGTGTACTAAGGTAATAAAAAATCTTAATTACCCATTTTGCAAAGTCTAACAACTGAGAATCTGCTTCAAAACATATTGACCAGTTTTGTGATTGGTCATCATAAAACGTAGCATAATTTCCCTTCTGCAACTGAATAAAAAAAATAAGCTCTATTATTAACAAAAATAAGTAACTAAATAAATAACATTATTAATAAAAACATATACATTGTATTTTATGGATTATAAGTTTAACTTATAATCCATAAAATAAACTTATAATATCTTTAAAGTTTACAGATAAAAAACTTTTTTTTTTTTCAACACAATTGGCAAAGCTAAAAAAAAATCCTCAGATTTTAAATTTTTAAGGATCAAACTATTTAAACAACTTTTTTAATGGGAAAACATTTTTTATGTTATTATCTAGACAAATGCTTTAGTCAAATAAACATAAAAATAAAAATAAATAAACATAAGATTCAAAACTGCTTTTAATGTATATTGCAACATTATCAATCTGTGTTTATTATCAATAAGAAGTCTCATATTCTTTAAAGATTTTTTTTAGAGATAAGATAGTGTCTTAATCAGGGATGTGGAGTTGTAAAAAAAGTAACAACTCCGACTCCAGTTGTTAAAATTTTTTGAGTACAACTCCCACTCCGACTCCAGTTGTTGAAACTTTTTGAGTACAACTCCGGCTCCGACTACAACTCTAAAACAAAATTCTTCAAAAACTCTTTGAATTCTTTAAAAAATATTATGTAATAAGATAAAATTCATAAAATCAAAACAAAATCATTTCACAAATATTTTATAAATTTTGTCATAAATTTTATAAATTTATGAAGCGTTCTTTGAGGTTTAGTATGAACATAAGGTTAATTGAATGTTTTGTAAATGCACGTGCAATACCGAGAAGTTTTACTATTGGAGTCGGAGTTGCAATTTTGTTTAGCGACTCCGACTCCGCTAAAAATGTTACAACTCCCCAACTCCGACTCCACAGCCCTGGTCTTAATTATAGATCTTTAATTCAAACTTAAGTAAAAAGTTGAAAAGCTGATACAATTTGGGCCTCTAACATTGTAATATTATTAAATTTAATAATAATATTTATAACAACATGTTTGTTTTATAATGACAACTTACATTAAAAGTAAATGTTGCATTAATGGTTGCACTTGTTACAGGTTTCTTCTGGGTGATGTAGAGTAAAATCTTATACTAAAAAAAATCAGTTAAAATACTTCTAAATAAATCAACATGATTAAAAATCAAAACTTTTACTTGTTAACTAAATTTAAAACAAAAATATCTTAAGTCACTAAGTTAGTGCAACTTTTTTAACTTCTTCAAAAAAATGTCATCATTGTGTCAGTAAAAATGCAGGTAAAATTGATATCATTTTAGATTAGTTTTTAAATTAATATATCATGTTTTTTACATAATTAGGTATAATTTTACAAAATATTCACAACTAGTAAGACTTTTATATTAACATAGTAAAAAAAACTTACTAAAAACTAAGAAATTTAATACGATTAGACTCTCAAGGAAAAAACGCAAAGAGGAGAAATATTTTTGCAGAGGAAATAACTGAGCAAAGATTTTTAAAGGAGTTTAGTAAATAGTAAAAAAGTGCTAAAGACTAAATTTAATTTACAACTAAATTTAATTTAAGACAAGTCATATTATTAACATTTAAAATTTCAAAAAAACTGTGAAATTTCAAGACAATGAAAATGTAAAAAATTTAATAAAAGAGGAAAGCAATGAAAAAAGAGATGAGAACATAGTAAACATCAAGAAAAACCTTTTAAGTTTTAAAAGTTATTCTTAGAAAAAAAAGAAAAAACATTCAATCAATGACTTGTGTTGCAGAGCATATAAAGCAGAGGAAAACATATGGGCAGAAGGGGATGAACCTCGATCCCTCAGTTATAGGGGATGAACTTAGTAAGGAATCCAAAAAATTTTTAACTGAGTATTTTTGAGGAACAATTGTATCCTAAATTCTCACAATCAATTTGCCCCAATTTTACCCTCCTTTTGTATTGGAACTTACAGATTAGGTTATTAAAGCTGTCACACTGGTTAGCAAAATAAAAAACTAGCAAAAAAAGATTTAAATTGAGTTTCTTTTTTCACTTAATTACAAAACGTGGAAATAAAATACACCAATTTTACCTACTTCAATCATATTCCAAAATGCATAACAACAAATATAGCAATAAATCAAAAAACTTATAATTACATCTTTTGATGATAAACTTCCGAGTATTGCAGCACCAACCTTCCCTTGTTTTACATATTCTCCATTTGAACTTGATAAATAAAAATATACTTAATATTTCTTTCTTTAAACTAACAAATTTTAATCTTAAAAAATGATATCTGATTGAGAAATACTTATATACATCTAAATTAAATATCATTTAAAACTAAAAACCATAAAATTCAAAATTTAGGAATAAATTAATAAAGAATTTTAAAGACACAAGTATATGTTAACTACAAAATAATGTATTCATAAAATAATAAAAGTAAATTAATGAACAATGTTAACTAATTTATTAATAGTAACAATTTCTAAAAAAATACATAAAATATTTAATAAAATATTTCATTTACACAATCATCTACAGCACATCTTGAAAAATTGCTTGCGCTACTGATTACAATTTAAAGTTTACTTTTAAACAAATAATTTAATAAGAACCAATAAATACAGACTGCCTAATTAATATGATGATTTCATTTAAAGTCATTTAATAAATAAACACATCTTTATTTAAATCTTTCTTTTTTTAATTTATATCTGATATTTTAAATTTAATTTGATACTTTGTCTTTAGACTTTGCTAAGAACATGTAATCATTTTTCAAATTACTTTTACCAATATAGCAAACTTTACATTTTATTAAACATAAGCATGATCATTCAAATAATTTACCCTTGATCACTCAAACATTATGGCCTTGACCTATAAAAACTATTATTTTGTAAATATTCTTTGCTGCTATCATGATTTAATGCAGATATTGATTAAGTATGATCTACATATGATTTGAAATCATTAACACTATTTAACTTTAAACCACAAATGTATATAACATAATATAGAACATCCAACCAATCAGATTTTGTCAACTCATTATGACATTGTGCATTTAATTTTTTCTATTAGTTAAAATCGCCTTTATTAGAAAATGCAGCAAATTATGTGATACAATTCATGTGGTACAGTATAGAAGTATTGAAGTCCAAAAAATCCAACTGGAATATGATTTTTATTGAATACTTCACTGACTAGCTCAAATGTTTATTGTAAATTTAAGAAAGATTTATATTACTTTTCTTACAATATATGCTAATTTATATTAATTTATGCTAAGGAATTTGGCCTTTATTTAGCTGATGTAAGACTGTTACCTTAGGGGTTGTCCGTAAAATATGAACGCCAAAATATTAGAAACCCAACCCTCTCCCTGTTGCCATGCATACATTAAAGTCCCCCAACCTCTGCCAAAAAGTACATATCATTTTTCATAGTCAGTAAAATCAATACATTCAAAAAATATATAAAGAATATAATACAAACATATAAACACAATATATATATAATATGTAAATATTATATAATATATACATATATACATGAAACAAATTTCTTCATATTTCAATTTTTAATTAATTAGTACAACATCAGTCTTATGAAGGATAACAAGTTTAAAAAACCTTTAAAGTGTTGTTAAACTTCAAATATTAATTTTTCGAAATTATTAATCAACCAGACAAATTAGCAAAAAATATATTAGCTGTTATGGTTAAATGTCATATGTTGCCTTTGAATCAGATTTTCAGTATGATGCAGTTAATTCTATACTTAAATCAATTTCAAATGTAAATGGAAGCTGTATTGCAATTTTATATGACAATAATAAAGTAAATGTTAAGTTTTTCTCTCTCTTTTTGAAACAGTTGTAGAAAAACCATGGTTAAATAAAAATAATTTTTTTACTTTATCATTATGTTTATATATGGAAAAACATAAGAATTAAATGGATTACTAAAAAAACTCAAGAAATACAGTTTAAGGACAATGATGATAATTTAGTTGCAAGATGGGATGACATTTACAAACTTTATAACCTAGAAGGTAATACACTTGTGACTCTTTCAAAATTGATGCAAAAAGAAAATGAAATAATTGATTCTATGAACATATTAGAATCTAACTTAACCGATGCTGTTAAAATAGCTTTAGTATACATTTTTGGTTACCTTTAATTAACACTGGTTATAAAGATCTTGACACTGACACATAATCATATGGTTCTTATCTCAATGATTTGATAGAAATGGTTTGATATTTTAAGTCAATTTACATTATTTTGTTACCAGTTTGTTCAAATTTTCTTTCTTATTATTTTTGATCAATTGACATTTTTCATTTTTTAGGATTTTAAAAAATAAAATCTTGTATGAAAAAGTTATAAAATCTTGTAAAATAATTTTTTTAAATAATTTTTCTCAAATAATTACTCAAAGCTAAACATTCCACATTCTTCAAAAAATTTTAAAAATACAAATAGAAAATTTTTTTTTTTTAGTTTAAAATTATTTTAAAGTTTTATCAAAAAAATACTAAATTCCTTCTAAATAAATATAAAATAGTTCTGTCTTCAGTATTTATATTTAGTAAGTTAGAAATTAATAAATTTGTTAAACTAGTTAGATAAATAAAAAATCAGCCAAAATAAAATGTTAACTAAATTGGCCTTTAGTTTTTAAAATCAACAAATACCTAGCTTTGTAGTTTACGCATAGAATATAGTTATTCCAAAATATAATTTATATTTGTACTCAATTTAGTTTAGAGAATATATTTTTTAACTTTTGTAGCATTAGTAATAATAAATGAAAATAAACCATTCCAAATTTTTAAATTTTGAATTTAACAAAATGGCCTTCTTTACATATGGATTTAATTCTATTGGATTTTATTTGTCTCTTTGGAAAAAAATAAACCAAATTAGCGCTATGAGTTACAATGTTATTAATATTACAATGTTATTATCATTACAACTTTATTGAACTAATAAATAATATTGACAACTTATTACTAAACTTTCTTTAGAAATATTTGTTTTTGAATTGAACTTAAAAAAATTTTTGTTTTACAATCACTGTACACATTTAAAATTTTCTTAAATTTTTAATATTATTTCACTTTTATATAGTTATATATAACAAAATGTAAATAAACTATTATTTAAGAAGACTTTAAATATTTTGACAAATATTATGACATTTAAATAATTACAGTTAAATTTTATTATGAAATTTAACTTGTAATTATTTAATTGTAATTGTTATTGTAGTATAGTTTTTAAAATATTTTTCAATTTTTAATCCTAGTAAGAAAAAAATCTGAATTTTTTTCATTTCACTCCTAACAAGGCTGCAAGCAACCATTTTTTTTCATACTATTTCACTCCTAACAAGGCTGCAAGCAACCATTATTAGTTTGGGAGTAACTGAAAAACAAAAAATAGTTTTAATAGTTTCATACAACCTGGTTGTATGAGTCAGGAAAACATGAAGCTGGAAGAATAAGAAAATATAAAGACTTATAAACATAAAGAAGACAAATTAGAGATTTGTAGAAGTAGAAAGTGGAATCAGGAGTAAAATAATGGCAAGCACGATAAAGAGAAGCAACCTTAGCAAATGCTAACTTTGCAACCTATTGCAACCTTAGCAAATGCTAACTTTGCAATAGATTGCAACCTTAGCAAATGCTAACTTTGCAATAGATTGTAAATATGGTTTCTATAAGATAAGTATTTTACTCTTATTTCTATAAGAGTATAAAATTGAGCCATTAGCATATAGAGCCACATAAAATGTAAAATTGTCAGAGAGATAAAACAATACAAAACCAAACATAAAATCTTCAGGTACCCTCTTCATAACACTCTTTTTTGTTTCCAATAAAGTGAATCCTACAAGAAAGCAAGACATAAAACAGGTTGCACTTTTACTTTTTCTATTACAGGATTACATGTTGTGAACAGCAGGGTGATCACGATGATTACAGACCTGATCTTTACTTTTGCAAATAGTCAATATATATAACACTGTTTCTAAAGCAAAATGGTTTCCATAGAAATCACATAATGGGCAAATAAGATTGTTTAATTCAAAAAAGTCAATGTAATTAGGAAAGGACTAGAATGCAATTATTAGGGATCTAAAACTCATATCTTCTTTATTTTTAAAAGCAAAATTTTGGCCAGATTTTTTGGCATTTTAGAAGACTGTGCACTGTTCAAAAAGGTGATAAGTAGGGCTGTACCGGATTTATTTTTTTCAAATCCGGCCGGAGCCGGATTTGCCGGATTTCTACTGACAGATCCGGCCGGAATCGGAGCCGGATTTCAAAACAAAACTACAGGAGCCAAAATCCTGTACATCCCTAATTGGTGTTGAGCATGGTCAACAATGTGGACTATTCAGAATACCAAGTGACTGCTGTTTTCTGTTAAACTTTATTGTTGTTATTTAAAAAGTTTTATAGCAATTTCTATATATAAATTAATAGAAATTCTAAAGAAATTCTATAGGCCATATGTTTTAAAAGTTTATAGTAATTCTATTGAACTTTTTTTCCGGGATTTTGTCACTCCGCCACTGTAGTGGATCATTGTGTCTATTTATTTCTGGTTCTTTCGGATATTTCCTTAGCTGAGTTTCAATGCCTTTTAGTAATTGTTGTTTATGTGCCCTGCCACCAGCGGACGTAAACTGAATAATTTTATCAATAAATTGCCAGAGTAATGATGATGATGATGTAAAAAAATTATTAAGCCCGGCTTATTTTGGTGGATTTTCTTCAGTTTTGTCTATCTTCTGTTCAGCATGCTCAGATTGACTTCAATCTTGTTTTTTCAGCTGTCAGTGTTGCCTGTAATGAGGAGAATTTAGTTTTAAATTGTGAGTCAACTAGCCTCGTCAGTATATAAAGAGGTTTCTCTTTTCAATGCTTTTAAAACGCTCATCCAATCACTTGATTAGGGTTGACATCATAGTCTTTATACCTGCATCATTCTAGAATATCGTGTGTCTTCCCTTCAGAATTTTTTGTTGCGTTGTTGTTTTAAATTAGACTTAGCTTATTAAATTATAAAGAAATATAAATACAAATACCAAAACAAATATGAGGTTCATAAAATATAGAATTACAAAAATAATTGATTTTTATAAATAAAATACTAGGTATACATGTAAACACGGGCAAAAAAAATGTAATAAATATTTGACAAAATTCAAAACTCCGGCTAAAATTATGCCGGATTTGCTAAATTTTTGCCGGAGCCGGATTTGGGCCGGATTTGTAAAAATGGCCGGATTTCGACCGGAGCAGGAGCCGGAGCCAAAATCCGGTACAGCCCTAGTGATAAGACCAGGTGATAAGGTGATAAGATTCCAACCAATTATCATTCAGTTTCATTGACAATGATTACATCTAAGATCATAGAAAGTATTATTAGAGCTAATTATAAAAAAAGAAGGAATGGATATATAAAAATAGTCTACTAGCAAGTGAGCAACATGTCTTAAACCATGTACCACTAATCTATTAGAAAACTTTGACTAGATTTTGTTAAGCTTAGACTTTGGTATTTCACAGTTCTGTAAATCTGAATCATTTGTGTAAATATATGCATAACATTGACAAACTAGAATAAGCACCATTCCATTCTTAAACAATCAGATAAATAGTCACTGTTTTAATTATTTCAAGGAAAAGTCAATGCATATGTATCAAGAAATTTTGACTTTAATAGAATAGCAAATTTATGAAACTTTCAGCCTAAGAAAATAGCTCCATCACTTTTACCCAAGAGTTTTAAGACAGCAATTGATTGCTGTATTAGCAGCAACCAATTACTTCAGCTGTTATAGTGTCCTGATAACACACTTACTGCTTTTGCCATTTTTTACTACAAATTAATATATATATATATATATATATATATATATATATATATATATATATATATATATATATATATATATATATATATATATATATATATATATATAGACACATAATATATAAATATATGGAAATATAAAATAAGTTTAAAACCGACATACAGTTTAAAGGCATGAACAGCACATGCAAACAACAATGATGGAGAATCAGGTTTCTGCTCATTTGGATCACTTAAAACATCATCTAAAGGAAATACTTGATTTTTCAAAATAAAATAGCAAAAAGAGTATTAAAAAAGTTTAAACAACTTTAATTGCAATATATAAAAAAAAACAAATATGTTTAAAAAAGCATTATTACTATTATTGTAAATGTTATTAATAATATAAATTGTTTTTGAATTTTTTACTTAAAAATATTAAAAATGTTATTATTTTGCTTGTTATTATTTTTTTCTATCTCATACATATATGCCTACATAGTACAGACAATTGGTGACAAACTTATATGTTTTTGTGCTATTTGGTGTAAAAGCATGAAACTTGGCCAACATGTTGAATATATTGAAATAGTTATTTTAAGATTCAAACTCCGCCTGTCTCCTTGGTAATCGGATTATGTCCAAATCAAAAAAACTTAAAAAACTTAAAAAACCGTCATTTATGTATTAGTCGAAAGCTCATTAAAAACGCAGCAAAAAATATAGCAGGGCTTTAAAAACCTAAAAGTCAGGGGGCAAAAGCATAATATTTTTGTACCAAATAGTATTTTTCAATTATAATTAAATGTTCTAATGACACAAATAGTTTAACCTTCATAAAAATTAAAAAAGTTTGAAAATAATACTAAAATAGTTAATTAATATTTGATAAATTAACAAAGTTAAAAACACAATGTTGTAGATCAAAAGTTATCCTCTAAAATTTTAAATAAACTTTAAAAACCTGTTATATTTAAAACATTTGGTAAATTTTGAATTTAACGTTCACAATCACAACCACATTTGCAAAGTGTGGCATATGGAAGTAATGCTTTTACACATTTACAAAGACCTCAACAACCTTTCTCTATTTTGCAGCCAAATCGTAAAAGTTCACTACACATTTTGGAAGCTTCCAGAATTGTTGTCTAAACAATTTTGTAAATATTGTCTTCCATAATCCAACCCACTCACATGGATTAGGCAATTATAGATTCTTACACAATGATTGTGCCCTGCAATATGAAGCCTGCTAAATAGCTCTAGAGATATGCATTTGCAAAGCCTTTTGTGGCATCTGCTATGACGAATCATCTGGTATGATCTGGAGTATGGCATCTGGTATGACCTCCTTTTTTGAAAATAACTCTTTTTTGCATTGATTTACACTACTGTAAAAACTTGTAGGGTCATATAGTAGCACAAAAAACCTTTCAATTAAGTGGAAAATACAGATATCTTCTTTTAAGGACAATTAGAAATTTTTCAAGGAAAGTTTTTTCATTTTTCCAGAAAAAAACTAAACTTGATTGCAACCTCTTATTGCGTGAAATAGAGGTTAGCATTACTGTTTTGGACCAAGACATTTTTTGATTGTGCAGTGAAATGAAGCATTGGTTTTCACGAGTACCAAACCATACCCATAATTCTTGTGTAGCTTATAAATGTAGTCCTAAACCTAATATTAGAAACTATGATCATGTGATTTTTAATAAAAATTAAATTATTTTATTTTCATGACATGAAATACTTTCTGACTTCAAGATAATCTAAAGTATAAATAATAAGTTTTACCAATGGCAACAACAGTATCTACAGTTCTGATCATGACTTTTTTGAGTTCACTATTTATAGCAGTATCATATGTGTGAAATATAAAAAGTGTATATATCATATGTGTGAAATATAAAAGTGTCTGCTTCATATTGATCATATGTGTGAAATATACAAGTGTCTGCTTCATATTGATCATATGTGTGAAATATACAAGTGTCTGCTTCATATTGATCATATGTGTGAAATATAAAAGTGTCTGCTTCTTCATGTTTGCAAGGCTCAAGATTGGATTTATTGATATTTTGGTTTGATATCACTGAGTCCTTGTATGTCACAACAACCAATCTATTTGCTTGAAGACAAGGTACTTGGACTAAAAGGAACTTAAATAATTTATATTTGTTCTGATCGAGGCAAGGAAATGACTGTCAATTATTTGGAACCTTTGATTTGGGCAATACACGAAGACAAATGCCTTGTCCTCTTTTGACTCTTGCTGATTCTTTAAGGCTGTTCTTTGTGTAAACCAGGGTTGGCAAAAAAATCCAAATCAAAAAAACCCACATTAAAAAAACACAAAATCTAATAATTTATTATCAACAAGTGCAACTTTTATACTGTAAAAATTCATGTAAACACTGTATTTATATACAAAATGGTATTTAAAATATAATTTTGAGTTCAAACTCCTAACAGAATAATCCAAAACTGATCAATCTTTTTTTTGTAGCAAGTTGGTAATTTATTTTTCATATTTCAAATCATAAAGCAAAATAATATTAAAAAATATTATTGAAATATGGATTAAAATATTAAATTAGTTAAATATTTATATACGATTGTAACAGTTTCAAAATAAATTTCTGGAATACCTTGGTTAAATAATCTTTGAAAGTTTCACAAATCTTGGGTAATAAAATATTTACAACTACATCTTCATCAATAAACATTCAACTACGGGTTTATCTTTAAGTGCACTGTGCAAATCATTGAAACAAGTTAAAAGATCTGATTTATTTCCACTACATAACAGTCCATCTTTTGAAATAGACAATGGAAAAGTGTGATTTACAAGAGCAAAAATCATTAAGGTTGCCATTTTGGATCTGGCAGGAAATGTACAGTTGCAAAAACAATTGGCAGTTTTTTTTAGCACAGATATTTGCAACTGATCTTTTAACTTCCTTTTTGTATTGACACAACTAAAAAGTGGTAGCTTGTTTTGTTTTATTTGATTAAAGATAGACTCCTTACACACCTTTATGGTTTAGGTTTGGAAAAAATGATTGAACAATTTTTCTCTGAAATTCTTAATTGAATTAACAGTATTTACCACTTCTTTGTCTTTGATATCATGGGTATCAAGCACCAGAGATCTAGGCTTCCTTATTTAAATGGATTGTTTATGTTTGAAATTACATCAACTAAATTTGTAACTTAAGACGCAAACCAATTTTGATGACTTTTATTTTGCTCATGATGTTAAAAACTTATTTTCACAAAACCTGTTTCCACACTACCCGGAATCTTTCAACTAAACTCCAATTGTTTTAAGCGCCACCATTTTGATATGAAGTGGCCCCATCATAATGACAAAAGCTTTTCTTTGTTTTATTTATTTTTTTAGAAAAATTAGGTAGAAATTTCATATTTCAATCTGGTACAATTTTTTGTGATTGTCAATGCTGGAATAATAATATTTCTGTTCCTTGAAAAAAGTCTTCAGCTAACGTGGAACTTCGATTGTGGTCTATATTATCCAAAGCAGCAGTTGTGAAAACGTTAGGATTCAAGTGTGGTGGGCAAACTAATTTATTTTCTGCGAAGTAGTTCAAAATTCTATTACCCATTTGTGTTAATAATTTCATAACCCGGATATAAGAAATTGATATCCCAAGTTTATAAAGATTATCAACAAGTGTCTTTTTGCAAGATTTCGTATTAATCATTATGTCTACATAAATACCTATGGGACTTTCTTGAGATTCTTGTCTTTTTTGAATCTTGGTTTTTTGTTGATTTTGAGCAACACGTTTCATACTATTGTGATTTATCAATTGACTGGTTGTTAAAGTTGTTCTAAACCTTGATTATATTCATTACTTTTATTCCCATGTAAAACCATATCAACAAATGACTTTAAAGATGCAGAAACAAATGCCCTTCAGCAATCATGTGAAAAATAACAGCTGAAGTCATAACTTTGATTTGCAAAAATATCTTGCCAGACTTTAGCTGCTTCAAATAATATGAATGATTTGCCTTCATAATTCTTTTCATAAGAATTCTTCAAAACATTTCCAACATTTTATTCAAATGTTAAATAAGAAAACTTTTTATCACTATACTCCCTTAGATTTTCTACATGCGCCAACAATCTTTACTTTAATTTTGTTGTATGGATCCTTTAAGAAGGTTAGCACCAAACTCAGTAACCTTTTTATGGTATATTTCAGCGGGTCAACTAATTTAAAGACACGGTTATCTTTATACTTTGCTTCTTGTATTATATACTGTTTCAATTTCAAGATTGATTGAATTTTGAATATTGAATTGATTGAAAGATTGAATGAAATTGAAGATATTATATACTGTTTCATTCGCAAGAACAGCAAGAACCTCGCAATTGATGTGTTTTTTAGAACTATCACACAACATTTTATTGGACTCTTTTCTGTTAGATCTTCTATAGAGACTTAGCAGACAAGTAGAGTGGTCTAAGCAACCTAAAAAAGTGTTATTTTCAAGGATAGTGGCGCACTTTCAAACACATTTTTCCAAATC